GTGCTGTCATCTGTCCTTCATATACCCATAAACATGTGTCTCCCCCCAAACCACTCAGATAACAAGTATTTTAGGTTTTTCAGGAGAGTATTCCCTCTCCCCCTCCTCTCCCTCCCTGCTCCCCGCTCTTCTCCATACCTATAGCATCTTAAAAATACAACAACCATTCTTGGTTAATAAATTGTATATATCAACTAAAATGCAGGCTTAATGCACACAAACTTTTAATATAAAGCAATAAAAATAACAATAATCACACAGCAAAAGCCTTACAAATGTTTTATGAATTATCTCTACTATTAACCTGCCTTCTTTGAAGACCAGGGAAAAAGCATCCAGTCTTCCTGGGCAACCATCCCACCATGGATAGATCTGCACTATGGTCCTGAAGTTTCCTCATGTCCACACTGTCCTGATTTGCCTTCTCAAGGGTCAGAATGGCTTAAAACTGGAAGCTGAGGCAGTGTTAGAAACTTAGACTCTACAGCAGTTGTTCTCAACCTGTGGGTCTTGACCCCTTTGAGGGTGCACAGGGGTCACCTAAGAAAGACCATCAGAAATACCAGACATTTACATTAAGATTCATAACAGTAGTTAAATTCCAGTTATGGAGTAGCAACAGAAATAACTTTATGGTTGGGGTCAGCACCACATGAGGAACTGTGTTAAAGGGTCGCAGCGCTAGGAAGGTGCAGAACTGCTATCCCACGGCCTGAGCTGGAGGAGCTCAGGGTCTTGTTGTGTTACTGTTTTTCTCTCTTAACTCTTGATTGGTTGTCCTCAGCTTGCTTACAGTTGTTGCACCCGACTCAGTCTTAGAACCATCTAGAGTCAACCTACAGAAGATGAAATGAGCTCACAGGCTGGGAAGAGCTACTTGGTAAGATACCAAGTTGACACCCACATTTCCAGGCCCACCACCTTCTCATGGTCACCGAGACACTGAGGATGAAGATTGCTGCCTTTGGGGCTGACATGTTCTGTTCCACCCAGGCCCTTGTCTCAGTCAGTGCAGCACCCAAAGCCACTCAAAACTTCCCAGGACTTCACTGTGCAATGATAGGATGAGTAAATGATGGGCACTTCCGGAGCAGCTGCTTGGGAAATTTGGAAATTTATGATATTGGGGAAACTTTATAAAGGACCATCAAGTGGGAAAAAAAATTTTAAATTAGATAGAGATTAAATATAGCCTTAGCTTGTCTAAAACCAGAGCCCTGAAGGAAACACACAAAATGTTAAAAATTAGTATGCCTGGGTGGTGGATTATGAGTGACTTAAAAAAATTTCTACGCATTTTGTGAAGATGTACAAATAAATGACCCTATGATGTAGTGAAAATTCTAATTTGTCTTAATAATAAAAACCCAGAGTCAGATGTCAGGGTAAATGCTGAAAGATCGGAGAAGGAGCAGCCACGCTAGAAACCCTTAACCTCTACCGAATCCTCAGATCAAAGGAGCATGATCCTCTCCCCGCAAATCCCCAGACTGAATCCTCACACTGAAAGCTCTGAGCTCCTGTCTCCTCCTGCCTTATATTCCTTGCCCCGTCCAGCCGTATCACTCCTGTCTCCACCTCCCTAGTGCTGAGATTAAAGGCCTGTGACTCCCAAGTACTGGGATTAAAGGTGTGAGCCACCACTGCCTGGCTCTCTTTCTCTTTTAGACTAGACCGATCTTGTGTAGCCCAGGATGGCCTTAAACTCACAGAGATTTGTCTGTCTCTGTTTCCTGAGTACTGGGATTAAAAGTGTGCACCACCGCTGCCTGGCTAACTAATGGCTAGTTCCATTCTCTGATCTTCAGGGAAGTTTTATTTGTTAGATCACAAACAATATATCACCACACTATGTCGTTTTCTTTAAATGACAAAAAAAAAAAAAAACCCAAACCAAAGTAAACCAAATAAAAACAAACCAAAACAAAAGAATCAAAGAACATCTCTTATTGCAGGTTTTGGGAGAGCTGTACCACCCAGAGTGAGCTTCCAGGCCAAGTCCCCAGAGAAGAATTCTGGTGTGCCTGAGGAACAGGCCAGGAAGAAGACAGTCACTGGCAAATATGAGTGTAGAAATCCATTTTAGGTCAAAGAAGATGGCATCTGCACTTGAGTGGCCTCTTTCCTCGAGGCCTGCAAGTGATCAGCTCCATCCGGTCTTATCGCAAAACAAATCTTACTTCCCTGTGTCTTGCTGGTCACCACACCCTCTCTTTGCTGTTTGAGTCTAGTGCTGGAAGCAAAGGAATCCAAAGGGTGTGTGTGTGTGTGTGTGTGTGTGTGTGTGTGTGTGTGGTGCAGAAGCACCGTGACTCCTCACATCTTCCCGCTGGAGTCAGAGCAGCTGGTCCTCATATTTTGCTTGTGGTCAGACTCCCACACCCCAACTCTTTTGTGTTTATGAGGGACTATTGTGCAGCTAGTCTTTCTGTGACTGTCCCCTACTTAGTCACTATACACACACAGGTGGGTTCTCAGTTGAAAACACCCATTGGTTCTCTCCTATACATGTGTATTCCTCTATGTGAAATGTTATTGGACATCCTACACAGCCCCAGCACCGTGTTGGCTGTGACCTGTTCTGACCCTCCAAAGCATAGTCAGGGCCTTGTCCTTCTTGATCAAGTGCTATGTTTAGAAGTGTCTTTCAGGCCGCTGCGGGGGCGGAGCATCACAGGTGCCGGGTGAGCTCTCCGCTCTGCCGACGGAATGGCGGGCCAGGGTAAACTAATCGCGGTGATTGGAGACGAGGACACGGTGACGGGTTTCCTGCTGGGCGGCATAGGGGAGCTTAACAAGAACCGCCACCCTAATTTCCTGGTAGTGGAGAAGGATACTACCATCAATGAGATCGAAGACACTTTCAGGCAGTTTCTAAACAGGGATGACATTGGCATCATTCTCATCAACCAGTACATCGCAGAGATGGTTCGGCATGCCCTTGACGCCCACCAGCGTTCCATCCCAGCTGTCCTGGAGATCCCATCCAAGGAGCATCCCTATGATGCAGCCAAAGACTCCATCCTGCGCAGGGCCAAGGGCATGTTCACGGCCGAAGACCTGCGTTAGGGCTCCTCAGCCGCCAGCCCCCTCTCACGACCAGGCCTCTCCCAGTTTGCCATCCTCTATTTATAAAGTTTCAAGCCTTGGTTTCCAGCCCCTCCCTTCCTCTTCGCTGAGTGGCTCCTAAGCTGTTGGGGTTCTGCTGTTCAGATCCAGGCTGGTTAGGGAGAGAAAGCCCAACCATCTTCTCTCTCCACCCCTCCTCCCTGTGCTGTTACACAGTGTCATTGTTGATATTAAAAGAATATTCTCTCCAAAAAAAAAAAAAAAAAAAAAAAAGTGTCTTTCAGTGTCTCTGTGTTGAAGGCATAGGCCCCAGCCCATAGTCCCACCGGAAAGCAGTTAGTTCACTGAGGGAATGCCCTTGAAGTGGCTCCTGGAACCCAGCCCCCTTTTCTGTCTCTTAGCCATCTTGAGGTGTAGAGGTTTGTTCCATGACATGTTTTCTACCATGATCTTTTATCTTGACATCGACTCAAAACTACGGCAGCTAACCGAACAGGACTGGCGCTCGAAACCGTGAATCTACACAAACCCTTCCTCCTTGAGTTGATTTATTGTGTGTTGTTGTTTTTCCCAGCCACTCAAATCGGACAACCACCTCATGGCAAAAAGGAGAAATCAGGTGACTCTAGATTACCTTTAGACCTTTGTGGGGTCCTTGCGTTCATGCGCCTTACATATTGAACGCCATGTCTTCAGCTCATGGCGGAGTTTTGATAAGCCAGGGACCTGGCAAGAGGTATTTATCTGTGTGCAAATGTATAAAACCAGAGCTGCACAGTCTTTAGACACAGAAATGTGGGGGCCTTTCATGAGGTGGAACATGATACGTGACCCTTGAGCAGGACCCTGACTGTGATGGTTATTATTATTGACTTAACAGAATCTAGAATCATCTAAGAGTCAAACCTCCGGGAACATCTGTGAGGGAATTTCTAGATTGGGTTGGTTAAGATGGAAAAACCTACCTTAAATATGGTAGCGCCATCCTATGGGTTGGGATCCTCAACTAAATAGAAATGGAGGTCATGTGACTGGTACCTCCAGCCTTCCTCACTGTGATGTATTATATCTACTCAAGTTGTGAGCAAAAATAAACCCTTTCTTCTTTGAGCTCTTTTTGTCCATGGAAACAATAAGAGTAACTAATCCATGGGAAGGGGCCAAGCTGTGCAGGAAACGGCTTACCTCGCACTCAAAAGCTCTCTGTGCAGAAACGGTTTGACCCCCATCTAGAAGTGCCTGTGCAGGAAATGGTTTGCCCCCCATCTCAGAAGCGCTGTGTTTCTCAAGTCTTACACACACAGGGGAACCAAGATTAATTTTCATCTCTTCCTTTATAGACAAACAAGATGTGGCTTTTATACTTAGGCAGTTTATAATTTTATAAGTTGTAAGAAGGGAAGAAATTAATAATTACAGAATAACCATTTTCCTTGATAGATTAATTACAATACTGTGATCCAGAAAGTTTAATGTACCCAAGACCACACAGCCTGTGAGAGAATAGTTACTTAATTATTTTAAAAATTAGAGCCGGATTCTTTGCTGCCAAGCAGATCTCCCCAAAAGGCAGTTTTGTTCTGAGGCCTTACAAGTTTCCACCTGGGTTTCATTCTGTCCTTGTAAATCTTTTGGGTCAAATTACTCCATGTTTGGATTCAGACTACCTACCGCAAAGCCTAGCACATCATACACTCAATAAATGATTATTAATACCCAAAGTACAAAAGCTTAATTACACACCAGCACTCTATGTGAACAGGAATGTGCCTGTTGACTGCATTCCCCTTTTATGAGGACAGTACAGTCACCAATTAACGGCACTTACCAGACTGCTCATCTCAGTGAGCAGCCGCTACAGCCTGCCGTTTACTGTCCAAACATTCTGAAGTCATCCTCACCACCTTCCTTTCCTGTGCCTTATCCCCAATATGCCATCCAGTGCCATCCAGTGTCATCCAGTGTCATCCAGTGTCACCCAGTGCCATCCAGTGTCACCCAGTGCCATCCAGTGTCATCCAGTGTCATCCAATGCCATCCAGTGTCACCCAGTGCCATCCAGTGTCACCCAGTGCCATCCAGTGCCATCCAGTGCCATCCAGTGTCACCCAGTGCCATCCAGTGTCACCCAGTGCCATCCAGTGCCATCCAGTGCCATCCAGTGCCATCCAGTGTCACCCAGTGCCATCCAGTGCCATCCAGTGTCACCCAGTGCCATCCAGTGCCATCCAGTGTCACCCAGTGCCATCCAGTGCCATCCAGTGTCACCCAGTGCCATCCAGTGTCATCCAGTGCCATCCAATGCCATCCAGTGTCACCCAGTGTCATCCAGTGTCATTTCATCCTGTGCCATCCAGTGCCATCCAGTGTCATCCAGTGTCATTTCATCCTGTGCCATCCAGTGCCATCCAGTGCTGCTGTTTCTCAGTGCTGCAGATCTGTGATATGATCAACTCTCCCCACCTTCCGTGCCTCCACCCTAGTGCAGGCCACCATACCTGGGTCATACTCATTAGGTCATAGCTCACAGGAGTCCCACTCTACCTGTTCCTCCTTCCCTGCTCTGGGGGCCTCTGCTCCCATCTTCCAATGTGTCTTGCCTTTTTTTGACTTTTTCCCCCACGTAAGCTTCAGTTCTGTTTTCCCGTTACACGTTGTACTGGCTGGTTTTGTGTGTCAAACTTGACGCATCAGAAGAAGGAGCCTCAGTTGAGGAAATGCCTCCATGAGATTCAGGTTTAGGGCATTTTCTCATTTAGTGTTCAGTGGGGAAGGTCCCAGCCTATGGTAGGTGGTGCCATCCCTGGGCTGGTGGTCCTAGGTTCTATAAGCAGGCTAAGCAAGCCAAAGGAAGCAAGCCAGTAAGCAGCACCCTTCCACGGTCTCTGCATCAGCTCCTGCCTCCGGGATCCTGTCCTGTTTGGGTTTCTGCCCTGACTTCATTCAGTGATGAGCAGCAATGCTGAAGTGTAAGCCAAATAAACCTTCTTCTCCAACTTGCTTTTTGATCCTGGTGTTTCTTTGCAACAGTAGAAACCCTGACTAAGATACATGCTGAATTTGTCTAGATCTTTTGAAACATAATCCTTCCTTTGTGTTAGAGTTGTATCTAATCAGTTGGTTGTCAACGCTACACGTAAGAACTCTCAGGATGAGAGAGAAAGAGTCACCTTTGGCCCAGCTTTCATCTCTAAAATTTCTGCCTTGGATTGTAGGGACTGTTCGATATCACATATAATTTTTAATCAGTTCACAAAACCTGACCCATTTAATGTAGTATCTTGCTGAATTTGGACATGTGCATGCCTAGGAAACCTAGACAGCAAAGCCCAACTATCACCTCCAAAAGTTTCTCAGACTTCTGTGGGTTTTTTTAAGCACTTGACATGAATTTAGTTTTCTTAAGAATTTATTTATTTTTTGACGGGTTCTCCTGAAGCCCAGGCTTCAAACTCACTGTGTATTGGATGAACTCCTTATCCGACTGTCTTCATCTCCCAAGGACTGGGATGCTGGCATGCACTGATACATTGCTTGGGTCAAATCTAGGTTCTCATGCATGCTAACTAGCGCTCCACCAGCAGAGCGCCATCGCTAGCTCCTTGATTGACATATAAATGCTGCATTCCAACCTGGGCATAAGGTTGTTCTTTTAAAGAGAATTTCACAGGGAAATCTACTGTCCAGCCAGAACCGAGAATCCTGTAGAAACCCTAATAAAATAACCTCCTGAAACATGCACAGGTAACCCTGCTTTGGGCTCTGGGGAGACTTCATATGTCCTTTTTATGGGTGCTTAGCAGAGTGACTGGTGGACAGTTACTGCTCAACACATTCTTGGCTCATGAGCAAGGAAGCAGGCATTAAAGGCCCATATACTGTCCTACTTTTCCTTCCCATTGCTGTGATAAAAACCACGACCAAAAGCAACTTGGGGAGAAAGGGGTTTATATCAGCGGATAGCTTAGAGTCCATCATGGAGGGAAGTCAGAGCAGGAAGTCAACGCAGGAACCTGGAGACAGAACTGGAAAAGACACCATGGAGAAAAGCTGTTTACTGGTTTGCTGTAGCTCAACTTGGTGTTTAAGCAACCCAGGACCATGGGTGGCATCTGTATCCAGAGTGGGCTGGGTCATCCCACAGCAAGCATCAATCAAGAAAATGTCCTGCTGAGTTGCCTCCCAGCATCCTAAGGGAGCTATCAATTAAGAGTCCCTCTTGCCAGAGGACTCCAGTTTGTGTCAAGCTGACAGGATCTGACCAGCACACGCAGCTTGCTGAAGATCACATAGCTAGTAAGTGACAAGAATTCTAACATATCTGTCTCCAACACTCACAGCCATTATACTCTCTTGCTCAACCCTTGACCCAAGAAGATGAGAAGGGCCAGAACAAGATGAAGCTGGTGCCATTGAATACATCTTTGAAAATATTGCCACTTCTAAGGTTTTCTGATAAATAGATTTGAATTGATACTGGAGGTGTTTGAGGGTGCTTGGCTAGACTGTGTCTTTTTAGGAGTAGGGTGGTTAAGTTGAAGAGGATGCTTAGTAATTTAGTTTCCCCTGGACATAACTGACATATATTACATTTTAGGGTCAAACAGAAAACTTTCTGTTGAAATCATGTTTTATAGTAATTGAACCACTATTACTCTAAAACAACATAAATCTGTGTTTCTGAGATGAAAGCACAAACCACAGACCACAGGCTGACATTCACGTATTAGGCTGTGGTTAGCTCCTGCTTTGAAACTTTTATCTTCATACTAGATATTTTCTGTAAAATCCTGCGTCTGGGTAGTGGGTGTGGGGCTATGAGCAAGACACAGGAGAAAAAGTTATCAAGAAATGTGAGAAGGGGATGTCATCAAGGGCAACGTTGAGGACCACTGAACTCTATGCTTAAATACTCTGGCTAAAGACTGGATATTTCTGTATTCTCTCAAATTTTTGTGCTGAAGCATTTACTTCCAGTGTGGCTGAATTTGAAAGTGGGGACATTCCAGAAAATATCCAAAGTTCACTGAGCTCACAGGGTCATGTCAGAGTCTAAAGGATTAGTGTCTGCATAAAAAGAGATGGTATTTGTCTTCTCTTCTTCCAAGTACAGATTCCAAGGAAAGGTCCCGTGAGGAGAATATGGCTGTCTACAGGACAAGATGAGAGCCCTCGTTTGAAACCATGCAACCAACATGTTGTTCTTGCACTCCTAGCCTTCAGAGCCAGAAGAAGGGCAATCGTGCTGCTTGGGTTTCTCCGGCTTTGTATGCAGGATGCCAGCTCTTAGCAGAGGAGACCAGGCGACAAGAAAGACGTGAGCAGGACTAGTAAGATGTCATCTGCTACAGAGACTGATGATCTGAGCTAGACTCCTGGGACCAACACTATAAAATAAGAGAGCCTTGCTCTGCAAGTTGTCCTCTGACCTCCAGACTCCTGTAGCACACACATATTCCCCCCAACACTGCCACATGAACAAAAGTAATGAATACATAAATAAACAATTAAATGTAATTTTTAAAAGACTTGAACATGTGCTGTGCTAAAATCCCTATTTTCTAATACCATGTTAGAGGATTTGTTGGTTTGTCACCAGAATCTTAATTGTAGAAAAAAACATTTAGAAACCAGTCTGAAATTTCTGTAAGCCATTTTTTTCTAGTTAAAAAGCATATGAGTGCCATCTGCCAGATAACTTATTTGAATAGAATTAATTAGAATATTACAGAAAGATGATGACTCAGCAGGCTTATGGAAAACGTGGGTGGGATTGCTCCCTTGAATAGATGGATATTTGGGAGGCCAACAGGATTTTAGGAATAATTAGTTTAAAATAATTATTGTAGTGCTTTTTGTTCTTGCTTAAAGGAATGTCTATCAAACTTCTTAATTAATTTGAATTTGAATTTGCTAACCCTTCAACTTTCTTTTGTAATTATATTGTGTTTCCTTACTGTCTTGCCCAAATATGAGTTGCCAGTGTTTTATGTTTTCATGGTTAGAAATTGGTTTAAAACAATAGTTATGAACTCAATCTTTGTGGGCGTTCCTGCTTTGGAGAGAACAGAGGAGAACATAAAAGACTTTTTCTCCCAAGGAAAAAGCAAGAAAAGTTTAGAAAGAAAGTTTTCTGTGGGGCTAAGGAAAGCTATTGTTTGTACAAGAAAGCCTTGATTGACAGAAATCCAGAGAGAAGGGTGCTTTTCTCTTTTTTAAGTATTTCTTTTAGTTTTTGAGATTATAATTACATAATATTCCCCTTTCCCTTTCTCTCCTCAAACTTCCCATATGTCCCTCCTTGTTCTTTTTCAAATTTATGGCCTCTTTTTCAATAATTATTGTCACACACACACAGAGATGATAGATTAGATAGATAGATGATAGATTAGATAGATAGACAGATAGATAATTCCTATGTACATAAATACAATCTGCTCAGTCTATGTAATGTTATTTACATATATGTTTTCATTGCTTACCATTTGTATTGAAAACCAGTTAGTGTGTTCTTCTTTGGGGAAGACTTTCTCTGTTCTCAGCATAGTTGCCTACAGTTCTTTGTCTAAGGTTGAGCTCTTACGGGCTTTCCCGCCTCCACTTCACTGTGTCTGCTGTTGTTGTTCTTGTTTGGCTCATGTTTAGGAAATCATATTAGTGAGATTTTATGCGTGTAGCTTCTGATATTACTAGGAGACACACCCATAGAGCCAGCTCCCTGATCCCCTGGCTCTTACACTCTTTCCACCCATCCTTTTGCAGAGAACCCAGAGCCTTAGGCATGAGAGTTGTTTCATAGATATACCCATTGGGATTAGGCTCCACAACTCTGCATTTTGATTGGTTGTGGTTTTCTGTAATGGTTTCCATCTGTTGCAAAAAGAAGTTTCCTTGATGAGAGGGTGAAGACCACACTTACCTGTGGGTAGAAAGACAAATATTTAGAGTATAGTCAGGGATTATTATGGTTTAGTAAAGTGGTGGTTGTAGGTTTTCTTCCAAGATCCTTGACTTCATAAACCCTAGGTAGTTGGTTAGGTTTCTTGGACCAAACATAATTTCCATCTGGTTGAAGAAAGGCCTTAAGTCCAATTAGAGAGTCGCTGGTTACTGCTGAACAGTGTGCGCCACTCCTGGTCATACGCTATGCTGGTCTCTGTTGTAATTTATAGGTGTTGTAGTTTGGCTAGGAATGTTGATTGCTTTTCTCCTTCGGAAGCCTGCATGGCACCATGAAATGGAGTCCTCAGTGCAGAGACTTTTAGATCGCTCAAGAGTCTTGGTGCCTTTTTTAAATTCATGTCATCAGCAACAGTGACTTACTGTCCACCTCTGTGAGGACAACTAAGGGCAGCAACAAAGGAAATGGAAGCCGACCTTCTCCCACGTCACGACTGACATCATAAAAAGGCCACGATTGGAGAACTGAGAGCCAGACTAACTT